TACCCACACTGTTTGCTATTTCAGATATGTGTTTTCAAAAGCACCTGTATCCTTTGTCCTGAAGAGACTGTGTTAAACACATTCCAAGTGAGTTTTTTAAACAGTATTTTAGACTGGTTTCATGACAGCATCTAACTTATGTGACTGTAAATATTTCCAGAACACAATAAACTCCACTTCCATGCCAAGATGCTTCATACAGTGTGTCACTTTGGATGGTAATTATATTGCATTAAAGAGACAGATTGTGCAGCCTCAAAAGTGGAAAGAATATATTGGTAAATCTGTCATCCACCCCCACACAGCACACCCTCTGAAAAGGATAATTCTATTATTTCTGGGATCATCTTCAGTTTACATTTATTATTCTTTTTTAAAAAGATACCTATTTTTAATATTGAGATAGAAAGCAATTCTTAGGGGGTAAGTGCTTGTTTCAATATAGTAATCTCCTGCTTTTCCCCCCATGAAGTATTTTTAACTATAAATTTTCATAGTATTTTTTATTTCTATTTTTATTTTATTTTACATATTTTTACATAATTTTTTCATTTTTGCACAATGTATGCATTTTCACCTTGGTTATAGTCTCCATACAATTCCCACCCCCCTTATTTTGACCCTAATCCCTCCTATACTGTTGTATTTAGTTGTATTGTTTACTTCTGTGGGCCAGGGCTGCAGTACTGATATATTTGCCAAGAGAAGCAGAGGGAAGAGAGAGAACAGGGGAGAGAAAAGTAGAGAGAGAGAGCACCAGAGAGCCCAGAAAAGAGTGAAGACTTGCCGGGGGCTGGAGGCCTACTGGCCTCCTGCCCCCCCTCTCCCAGCACCCCTGCCCGTCATGTGCCTGGTTCTGCACTACACTCAATAAAAGCCTGAGAAAGGCACTGAGGGCTCCAGGACTCTCCTTTACCCGGGTCTGCTCAGATCATAAAGAACCAGCTCTGTGCCTTCCTGCACTACAGTGTAGAGGAAGTGTTATAAAGTAAATTTGCTTTTAAAAAATCTTAAATTTTAAAAAAGTAGGACAACAAAAGTTGAAAAAAAACTCATTATTTTGAAAATAAAAACAAATAAAGAGAAACAAAAATTGCTCATTTCTCTACCATATTCTGAATGCTTTGTGAAAGGGGTAAAATCTCCCCATGTCCACCTTTCCAGTTCCTGCTGCGGGGATCAGGGATAACAACTATTAACTATGGGGCAATTTTCCTTCTACACTTTTATTTTTTTGCATTGGTAAACACTTTTCATTTAGTTAGTTAAAGACATCATGCCATACATATTATGTTTTGACCTGTTCTTTCCTTTTAACAGTATAACATGGGGACATTTTTTCCCCTGATTTGAATAGTCTATCATTATTTGAATAGTCTATCTCTATGCCAGCGTGAATGACAGTAGAATTTTAGATGATTGCTTTGGTCTTTAAACCTTCTGCTACTCTTTTTGTTGTGATTTGCAATCTCGGGCAGTTTACTTTTTAAAATAATTATTCAAATAATTATTGAAAAATTATCTTAGATACAGTTTTAAGTAATTTTCATCATTAAAACATCAAATGGATAATACATCCAATAAAACCTTTAAAGATTATTTTTCTAAGCATACTTGATCCCTACACTCACAAAGGAACTTTAATGTATGTTACAGAATTAGAAGGAAAGGATAAGGCTAAGATGAGCGGGAGAAGATAGCTTCATGCAGGCAGGGGCTGTGAACGGGCTGGAAGGCATGTATACTTGTGGGCGGGTGTGGGGCCTGCCCTGGAATAGTGAGTAGTTTAGTAGGTACGACTGAGAATCATTTGGGGCCTCCCTGGTGCCACAGGGGTTAAAAAACAGCCTGAGTAGCTGTCCGCAGCCGCTGCAGCACAAGTTGGATTTCCCCATCCCTGGCCAGCCAGGGAGCAACCCACATGGCGCAGCAGACCTCTCCTGACTTGCCCGCTGCTCCACTCAGCAGTGTATTTCGTCGGTCTGCCTGTTCTGCTCCCCACTCTGTTGCTGGTGAATCCTCTCACCCTCTGCATGTCTGGCCTGCACCCCAGCTCTTGTATGCATAAATAAATCTTTAAAAAAAAAAAAAAGACAGAATCATTTGTTCTTCAGAATCCTCTGGTCACTGAATACCATATGGCTGCTTCCACGTTGTGAATTCCCTGAACTCCAGGCACAGCAGTATTCAAATGTCAGAACAGAACAATCTTCAAAGACAAACAGAAATTATATTTGGATTACTCACAGTATCAGTCCCCTTCTGTTAGTTTTGATGATTCAATGGGAATGTATGTGTTAAATTAACAAGTATATTAAGAACTTTGGACATCTGTAACCTTTTCCTTAGCTAGTACACAAAATGCCTCTATAATTCTCACTGTGTTGTTAACTCTTGAGTGAGAACAAAAGTGAAGTGAACATGTGTTCACCTACCCTTGCAGATAGGGGCAAGGGAAAGAACAAGAGGGGGGGGGGTGCGGTTGGCAGGATGGCACAGAGCAGGATCGCTATGATCGAGCAGATGGGTAACGGAGGAGTCCTCGAGCCCTTGGTGGCTTTTTCAGGCTTTTTTGAGTTTACCAGTGTAGGGGCAGTGTAAGGGCAGGAACGACCACAGTTCAGGTTTTCTGCTCCCATGCAGACCGGGTAAAGGAGGAGTCAGAGTCCTCAGTGGTTTTTGCAGGTTTTTTATTGGGGTTCACCAGGCATATGGCAGGCAGGGGTGCTGGCTGGGGGGCTGGGAGGCTGGCAGGCCTCCCAGCCCCCAGCAAGTCTTTACTCTATCTGGGCTCTCTGGCGTTCGTTCTGCTGCTTCTCAGCTTCTCTTTTGGCTGCTGCTGCTGCTGCTGCTGCTGCTGCTGCTGCTGCTGCTGCTGCTGCTGCTGCTGCTGCTGCTGCTGGCGTCCCCGTGACGCCGCCCTTAAAAGCACAGTCTTAGCTCAGCTGAATCCCATCTACCTATGCCCACACCCTACTCCAGGTGCCCGCCATCAGGCATGCATTCAGGACAAGGATCCATCATCTATCCTGATGGCGGAAGGGCAGAAAAGCCTGATATTTTCTTTACCCTACAGGCAGGAAGACACAGGGCAGGTTCTATGATTCAAGCAGACGGGGCAAAAGAGGGAGTCCTAGGAGCCCTTGGTAGCTTTTCCAGGCTTTTATTGGGATTTATCAGGTACACAGGAGGCGGGGGAGGGGGTACTGGGAGACTGGCAGACCTCCCAGCCCCCAGCAAGTCTTCAGTCTTTCTGGGCTCTCCAGCCTTCTCTCATGGCCTCTGCTTCTCCGCTGGTGCTCTTCCAGTGTCTCTGTCACTATGCTGGCATCCCTGTGACACCACCCTTACAAGCCCAGTCTCTCAGCCCAGATGCACCCACCTATGCATGCCCACACCCTACTCCAGGTGCCCCCCATCAGGTATGCATTTAATCTAATGGTGGGAGGGCAGAAAAACCTGATACTTTACTTCCCCTACAGTGGGACATTTGAATAATGGTTGTAGGGGAAGCTGTGGGAGAAAATAATAGCCTCTAGCTTTATTACATAACTGGATCATCAAGAGAATCTGAACAAGTAGCCCTATGTTTACATGACCTTTTGTTTTGTTCTTCAAGGTTAAATTGCTCCTGAGTCCAACTCTCTCTATGTATATTCAGTATTTACTCTGCACCTATTTGCCATGCTATGGACCAGGAAAATTTGCTAAGAAAGAAATTTAGACTGGGAGGCTGTAGGGTAAAGAAAATGTCAGGCTTTTCTGCCCTTCTGCCATCAGGATAGATGATGGATCCTTGTCCAGAATGCATGCCTGATGGCGGGCACCTGGAATAGGGTGTGGGCATAGGTAGATGGGATTCAGCTGAGCTGAGACTGTGCTTTTAAGGGCGGCGTCATGGGGACGCCAGCAGCAGCAGCAGCAGCAGCAGCAGCAGCAGCAGCAGCAGCAGCAGCAGTAGCAGCAGCAGCACCAGTAGCAGCAGTAGAAGCCGAAGCCGAAACAGAAGCCGAGAAGCAGCAGAACGAACGCCAGAGAGTCCAGATAGAGTGAAGACTTGCTGGGGGCTGGGAGGCCTGCCAGCCTCCCAGCCCCCCAGCCAGCACCCCTGCCTGCCATACACCTGGTGAACCCCAATAAAAGACCTGCAAAAACCTACTGAGGACTCTGACTCCTCTTTTACCCGGTCTGCATGGGATCAGAAAACCTGCCCTGTGGTCAGTCCTGCCCTTACAGAGGCAGTGATTGAAATTTCCCTGAGATGGCATTTAATGCCATCAGAAAAAAAGAGGTAAACTTGGAATGTGTCGGAAAGACACCTCTGAGAGAGGTTTGTGCAAGGAGTTCTACCCTATCTGGATGGATGACTCAGCCTGTTTAGTATTCTACCAGGATTACCAAGCTTCTCTAAAGGCCTACAATCTCACCACACCTCCCCTGAGCCTCTGGCAGTTCCTCTAATGGATGTCTGTGGAGGAGTGTGAGCTAGAACTCACTAGGGTCCTGGTATCATCAGCCAACTATGAAAACTCCAGCAAACTAAATTCTACAAAGCCTCTTTTCTTTCTCTCTTTTTTTAAAGATGTATTTATTTATGCATACAAGAACTGGAGTACAGGCCAGAGGTGCAGGGGGTGAGAGGATTCGCCAGAGAGAGAGTAGGGGGCAGAACAGGCAGATCCACTGAAATACACTGCTGCCGGGAGCAGCGGAGAGGTCTGCTGCACCATGTGAGTCACCAACCTGGCCGGCCGGGGATGGAATGCATGCTTCGTGCTTCAGAGCCGGCGGATAGCTTCACTGTTCTGTGCTTAACTCCTTGAGCCACCAGGGAGGCCCCTGCTTTCTTTATTAGGTAAGAATTTGGACCCCATCTCTAGTCATCCCCTCCCCCATTCTTCTAGCTATAACTAGTCCATCACTGTATAGTCAAAACCTCCTGACTCGCCTTTAGGACAGTTGAGCCTCAGGATTTAAACTGCACAGGCTGCTCAGATCTTCTAAATTGCACATTCTTGACTCTGGAATCAGCAGCAAGGTGAGTAAGGGGCAGATCATCTTATTGCACTTTTTCGTATTAATTCAGAGTCAAGGTGTCTCATTAACAATTAGGGGGACACAAACTCCACTATAGGCTGCTAAATTACATTTCCTCAAGAACCTCAGCAATGCCCTTAAAGAGGCAACAGCATGGTCGGCTATGCACCATTTGAAATATCACATAAAAGTTAAACTTAAAACAAAGATGAATCCTCTATGATTACATTAAGAAATAGCTGACTCAAGTTCTAGATTATCCACGCATTTGTTGGGCATTTTTGAAAGCAGAGAAGCAGAAACAGAGATGTGACAAAAAAATTAGTTCTCAGGCAGATACTTCAACATGACTTTGTACTAGAAATAAGTATAGTGGTATTTGTTGCTGCCACAAATCCACTCCTCCTTTTTGTAACACTAATGCTCTCACCTTCATTTAAGAGAGTCAACCTTCAACCACTTCCGTCTTATTTTTCAGGCTAAACTGACTTCATCTACAACATTGTGTGAGAGGACACACCAAGAAAACATGGCAGTGTAAGCTGTACCAGGAAAATATTTCCTTAAGTACATCCAAAAAACAACTAAATACCTCATACATCTCATATCAAGTCTTAGCCGCTAACAGCTACAAAACCCACCCTCAGTTCTGCCCAGCAGAGTGCTTAGCTGCCATGGTACTGAACCAGCAGGGAAAATCCCAAATCTCTGGGGACCCAACTTCCTAGACCTCCTGTTCAGAGGCAGGGAGGACCCAGCCCCCGCCAAAGCTGAAAATCGGGCTTACACATTGAAGCCCTGTGAATGTTTGCAGACTGGTATGGTAGGAAATGGCACTCCTTCCTGCTCTTAGGAAAAGAACGAGGCAATTTTTTTCCAAATCTGTCAAGCCTGACTCTATATCAGCAACAAAACCCACCTTAATTCCCCCCGAACTCTTAGCTTGCTGTAGGTATTAGAGCACTATGAGCCAGTCTCCCCGCCTCCCTAAAATATTGGCTGTTGGGTGGGTGTGGAACTGACAAATTAGGGACAGTGAGCATTTAAGTTGGAGACCCCAAAACTTGCCCTTTTCTCACCTGACTAACCCCAGGCTTTCCTGAGCTGTTGGTATACTACGGCAGGATGATGCCGCTTATTGTATGGAACACGGACTGCTGGTGGCATGATGCTAACACACCTGGGACAGCTGGTGCTGAGAAACAATCCTTACTACCCCACCCTGGTCTCTCCCAAGCAGCACTACCTTCTGCGTAGGAGTTGAGCTGACACACGTGAGCTGTTGGAAGTTAACGTGGAGGTGCTGGGAGGAACTCGCAGCATGGATCCCTCGGGCTTCTAGCCTCTCTCAGCCTACTGTAGCAGGATGAACCTAGGTCTCTCAGGGAGACCACAGACTTTTGAGTGGGTATTGAGATGGTGGTGCCTGTGTCAACAGGCAGCTATCTTGGCTAGGGTAAGAAGTACCATGCCTACCACATCAGAGCTTAGCAAGCAGCTATACAGCCAAACTGCTGTAATCTGCAACTTCTTGTGATACCTGCCTGTGGTACAAGCTCACAGCCTCCAAGTCACTATTCACGTCAGAGTGTTAAGAGAAAAGCACTGTCAACAAAGCTTGCAAAGATCAGATGTAAGTTACACCTGAAGAGTCACTTGCAGTTTAGGGTTTCTGGGAAAACACCACTTTGGACAGCATTGATGAGCTTTGATCTGGTGATTGCATATCCTGGCCATATCTCAAGAGGCTGCAGCACTGAGGGAGGCATTTGTCCTCAGAAATCTAGTGCAACAACCTCAATATCCCTCATAGTATCAGCCTTTACCCTATAGGCTAGGGTATTGAGTCATCATCCTATATTGGCTTATGAGCTCCAGTCATACTTAGTGGTGATGAAATTCCAATCAATAGAACAACAGAAACTGCTAGACAACTGTCTTATTGTTGTCTAGTCCAATACAGACAACAGAGCAATGGCTCCCTACTTCCCCATCTCCTTGAAATAACACTGGCCCCTGGGTGTGTGCGGAACTGAGGCCTCTGGGTAGTAAGTGGTCCAGCATCTATGACCAACATCCTAAACCAACATGCTGAAACCTGTGATTTTTAACACAAGACTGTCACAACAGAACTAGAAAGGAAAGCAGTCTAGTTTAATCCATAGAAATAAACGCAAAACATCAAATAGAATGAGGTAACAGAGAAATTTAACTCAATCTTTAGATCAAGACAAACTTTTGGGAAAAATCTTACTACAACAGGGTTGAAAAAACTACTGGAGGAAACTATAGAACAACAGTGTTGATTATACTTATTAAAACTAAGAAAACAGTGGATTAACTAAATGCAAAATTCTACAAGGACAGAAAAGTTATGGAAAAGTTCCAAAGAGATTAAAGAGCACAATAGTTGAAGTTAAAAATATGATAGAGGGCATATCAGTAGACTCAATGAGGACAAGGAATGAATCAGTGAGACAGAAAATAGAGTAGTGGAAATCATCCAAAAAGAGCAAAAATAATTTTTTTTGTATGTGTTTCTGGTATATTTATTATCTTTTTTTTTTTTTTTAATATTTATTTATTTATTTATACAAGCACCGGGTACAGTCAGAAACGCGGGAGGGCGAGAGAATTCACCGAGCCAGAACGGGGAGCAGAGCAGGCAGAAGGACCGAAGTACACTGCTGAGGGGAGCAGCGGGCGGCAGGAGAGGTCTGCGCGCCATGTGGGACCCTCACCCAGTGGCCGGGGAGCAGCCGGGGATCAAAACGGTGCAGCAGAGGCTGCGGGCAGCCTCGCAAACCAGCGCTCAACCGCTGCGCCACCGGGGAGGCCCCAAGAGCAAAAATAATTTAAAAAAAGAAAGAGAAAAGAGCAATAAAAATGAACACAATATAAGGGAATTATGGGATAGCATAAAAGAGAATAACATTTGTATCACAGGCTTTACAAGGGAAAAGAGAGAGAGAGAAAGAGGAGAAATACTAACTGAAAAAATGGTAGCTGGGATTTCCTCAACCTGGGGAGCAAGTAGACGTCCAGATGTAGATAGCTCACAATGTTCCAAACAAAACAAGCCCAAACAGGTATACACCAAGACACACTACAATTAAATGGCAAAAGTTAAAGATACAGGGAGAATCCCTAAAGACGTCAGAGAAAAGAGTCATATATTAGGGAAATGCAGAAGGCTAGCAGTGGATTTCTAAGCAGAAAATGTTGCTGGCCAGGCATCCTCTCGACAGGCTAAAGCTCAGAACTGAAGAAACAATAGAGAAATTTACAAACAAACAGCAGGCAAAGGAATTAATCTCTTATAAACTGGCTTTACGGAAAATTATAAAGAGACATACATAAAACAAAAAAAACCTCTCATAGAAGCAACAAGTTCCCAAAGTCAGAAATTATGGGCATGAGGGATAGTAAAAATAGGAATTACTGTCAGGACCTCAAGATTAGCTTATTTACAATTTAAGATTGGCCATATATATAAAATCACATATGTAAATCACATAGTAATCTCAAAACAAAAATACCTAGAAGAAAGAAAGAATCCAAATTACACACCAAAGGTAGTTTTCAAAATACAGGGAAGAGAATAAGAGAACAAAAGAATAGAGAAAAATTGATTTATAAATACTTACATATCAATTATTTTCCTAAATTTCAATGACTGAAGCACACTAATCAAATGATAGAGTGGCTGGTTGGATAAGAAACAAAACCAGAATTTTCTTCTTTCTCAACAAGACCCATATGAACTCTATAGACAAATATGCACTAAAAGAGAAGGGTTGGAAAACAATCCCGGTATGATAGGTGTCCTATGGAGCAAGGGATTAAGCATAGCACTATGAAACAAACCGCAGCCTCTGCAGCACAAGCTCAATCCCCAGCTAGCCAGGGAGCTACCCACATGGTGCGGCAGACCTCTCCTGTCTCGCCCACTGCACCCCTTAGCAGTGTATTTCATCATTCTGCCTGTTCTGTTCCCCACTCTGTCTCTGGTGAATCCTCTCACCCCCCGCATCTCTGGCCTGTACCCCAGCTCTTATAAGCATAAATAAACAAATCTTTAAAAAAATCAGGGAAATAGTATAACAAGTTTGCAGCAAGGGGAAGACTCTTGCTTATTACACCATATACTCATAGGTAAGACTGAAACAGAGCAAAGTCAAAATCCTTAGGAGGAAAAATGGATGGCCACAGCATACAATGGGAGCAACATCTGGATGGAAAGTTGTAGGAAAACTTTAAGTTAACTGCTTATAGTGATAAAAGTACAGCACTGCACACAAAAGGGAGGAGTGACTGTTATACAGTACCCTCTATAGATGCCCTCTATAGATGTGCATGCCACACTGGGAACGCTTAAGACCCATACGTACTGGGTAAAGGAGCATACAGAGGACACAGAAGAGTCACTGGTATAGAACTACAGGAATAGGGGTTCAGAGTGAGGATTATTGACTTGAGCCTGAGGATCTCAATATAGAACAGCTAGAGGCTGAATCATTGGGAAAAATAGGTCAGATGACCTGTATCTCCTCAGAAGAGTCTACTATTGGAAGCCTATTGTGGAATATTCAAAATACCTGTCATTACCGATCACAGAGCAAATCAAGACAACAAATGGGGCCTCCCTGGTGGTGCAGGAGTTAAAGAAAGCTCAATCAAGCTACCACCAGGCAGTGCAGTACAAGTTCGATCCCCCGCTGGCCAGGGAGGTGACCCACATGGTGCTGCAGACCTCTCCTGTCCCGCCTTTTGCTCCCCTCAGCAGTGTATTTTGTCGGTCTGCCTGTTCTACTCCCCACTTGCTCTGATAAATCCTCTTACACCACCACCCCTGCACCTCTGGCTTTACCCCAGTTCTTGAGTTCTTGTATGCATAAATAAATAAATCTTTTTTAAAAAAGACAACAAATGAACAATTTCACAAACCAGAATTTAAGTAACTGTTAACAACAGGAGCAATAACTCAGGATGAAGTCTCTCCTCTGGTAGGAGGGACGGGCAGTGGGACGAGAACAAAGCTGGACCTCTGACCCCATGTCAGCTTCAAAATGGGCCCAACATCTCATCTAGTGTTCAAAAACAGTGTAAAGGTGGAAGCTGATAGTAGACTGTAAGTGATGCTAAGACAAGAAGCTGACCTAGATAAAGAGCTTACTATGGATCCCTACCATGCAATTCTCCTGCCTACAACATGATGGGACATTTAATGAGAGTAGTCAATGAGAGTAGTCCTAGCACTCAATGAGAGTAGTCCTTCGGTGCCCTACTGCCCTGCCAGTACCATCTTTTGTCTTTCTTTCTTTCTTTTTTTTTTTTTTTTTTTTAAGATTTATTTATTTACTTACACAAGCACTGGGTACAGTCAGAAGCACGGGAGGGTGAGAGAGTTCACCAGAGGCAGAGCAGGAAGCAGAACAGGCAGACTGATGAAATACACTGCTGAGGGGAGCAGCAGGTGGCAGTAGAAGTCTGCGCGCCATGCAGGACCCTTGCTGGTGGCCGGGGATAGAACTGGT